GGACTCTATTAAATTTTATAAATATCAACTGCATTCATAACTAGGAGGTCATTAAGCCACACTATCCTCAATGAACATATACCTTCATGGCCTCAGGGGGCACTATAAAACCATGAGTGACAGTAACCCCCTGCACCCCCAATTATATATCTGTCATATTTATAGTTTATCTCTTACTGACTTACTCCAATACTTACTTTCCCCATTTTTCTATGAGAAGTTGAAGGTTGAGTATGGTTAGAGTTGTTTTGCAATGTGTCTGTTTTTCAAAGCAGAAAACATCTGTTTTCCACCAAGGGAACATTAGTAATTATTTAATTACCCACCATTAACAAAAGGCAGTGGGACTTAGCATTTTTTAAAAATTAATGGTCATTCCATAGATACAGTGAAGAAATGAACATATACAAACATACATTTTGCTGAGTATCACAGCATCTGCAAAGGAAGTGTCTCTTGTCACTGTAAACTCTTTCCCCGCATCATCCCAAGGGAAAAATCAATTTCTAAGTGAAGTAGAATCATGTTAAAGTTGGCAGTACCAGAAATGTGAAAAAAGACTGCCATCTGGAAAATGAGTATTAATAACTAAAGAACTTCAGGTTCTAACATAAATGAAAGATATTTAAAAGATCTTGACAGTATTCCTCTTTCTCAAAAATGGAATATATCTTATACTGCTGAAAAATGCATCATGAGACCTCAAATATGTTATATGAGTTTGCTAAAACTAATTTAGTAATATTAAAAATCAAGAAATAACATGATTTTCTCTGGGAAAATGTGAAACTGTGTCATATTAATTGAACACTGCTGTGGTAGACAAGTAAGATGATTTGCATGGATGGCAATCAAGAAGGAACTCTCTAGAAATGGGATTTAAACAAAAATGATAGATGGGAGAAAAGCCATACTAGCTTTGTTTAGAACAGTAACAATGGCAAAAGACTTTTATTTTAATTCCCCCTCCTCCTTTGTATTTAGAAATCATGAAGGAAAGAATATATTTTGTTCATTGTCCTCAGTATCCAGTGAGGCAAGAGAAAAGAAGCATTTTTTCAGCTCCTTGTTTGTTCAGTCAGTCAAACTTAAAGGGCGAGGCAGGGGGGATATATGCCTATGTCCTCTTGAATTGAGCTAGAATATACACATCAATAACAGGATGGTATGACAACTGCCAGTGCTGTGTTCAGGATACAATCTAGTCCCTAGTCTCTCTGTGCTTTTCAGAGTCATGGGGACAAGGGAGTATTAGTTCAGTCTTTCATTGTTTCTTCACATCCTAAGACATACAGTTACAGATCACCTGTTTGATTTTTTTTTGGGGGGGGGGTTGCAGGGTAGCCTAAATCATTCTGTATAGAGAAGATGATATAAAATTATCAGAGGAGCAATAAAGAAGGAAAGAAATTCAGGGGAATGCTGAGTGGACATAACTCCTGGTACTATTACTGTCTATCCAATGGATGGCCCATGAAGAAGTCCGAAAAATTCTTCCTTTTAGAATTTTTAGATTGTCACAGGTGACTATCAACCAGTTGGGATTCCAGAAGAAGAAAAAGCAGTCATCTGAACTAGACTGTGCATAGTTCCTTAGGCAGGGCACCATATGTACTTGTCCAAGACACTGCAATAAGCCTGGTAAAACAGCAGGGTGCTGTCCAAATAGCTCTCGACTGAGTGAGTGGTCATTTTGTATTCAGGGTAAAGTGGTAGGAATGATTGGAATGGCATATAAATTGCCTCTATTATGTCATGAGGCACCTCAAGAACAAATATTTGAGAACCTCCAGAGGGAGAGTGTCATACAGCAGTTGAGAACATGGGCTGGAATCAGAGTCATATTGTGTCCCAAAATTACCCCTTGCCAGGGATGTGATCTTAGGTTGATAACCTCTCAGTGTCTCAATGTCTTCATTTGTGAAATGGAACTAAGAGTATCACATGGAACACTTATGTGACAAGTACATCATGAGCTAACAAGCAATAAATGAAGTGTGTAGAACAGTGCCTGCTACCTGGAAATCAGTCCATTAGTATTAACCACATTGAAACAATTTGTATCAGGACTTGAGAGATCAAAGGGATGAGCATACATTTTGCAGGAGGGAGGTGTGCTAGCCACCACATGGTTTCCCAACCACCATCAGGGGCTCCACCCACACACACCCAGAGAAGTGCAACAGGAAGAGTCTCTGAACACTGCTAGGTGTTAATGAGATCTACTATAAATCTGGATAAAAACACTTGTCAGTGTGTTAAATTCAGTATTATCCTCTAATATTTTCATGTCTATTTGCCCCAACCCCCACCTTGACAATGTTGGAAAACAAAGAGGTGAGGAATGGGTCTTTGAGATTCCCCCCCCCCCCCCCATTTTCCAGGTGAGAGACCACAAGCCATCGTCTGCAAGGGCAATGTCTAAGACCAGGTTACTCATGATAACTTGGTTTGGATTCCACATCTAGCTTCATGTCATTCTCAAACATGATCATAGAAAAAAATGCAATGTGAAAAATGGGTATCATCATCACGATTCTTAGAGGTCTTAGTATATAGGACTTGAACGTTTGATTATTAAGAGCTTATTGAGCAACAGGTAACAGAATTATAGCCCTTGGTAATGTGTATAAGTTTTTATGGAAAGATATCTATAGCTAATGGTTGTAGAGAAGCCTGGCATTTTTTTCCTAGTTATGCAATTTACATGCAATTTTCCTAGTTATGCAATTTACATGAAATTGATGCAAAATTGTTAAGTAACATGGAGGGATGAATCATTCATTATAATATCCCAGAACATAAGGATACTGTTTTTATTTTAACAGTCCAACCAACCAACCAACCAATCAATTGGCTTTCTAAAACCTATTCTTGGGTATTCCAAGAGAAACCAGTGATAAAACAACTTTGAATAACCATCATTGCGACACAAGCTATTATGTTTGTAGCCTGGTGGCATCCTTTAATGCAGACAAGTGTTCTGTTTTTATGAATTTCAGTGTGAGTGCTCATCTTCTATAACCACATCATGGCAAAAGTAAACTTTCACTTTTTTACCCTACTGGAGACACCACTAGGCAACTGAAAAATCCAAGGCATTCATTTAGTTGAGAATAGTGCTTTTACCATTCACACCATTCCCCTGATTTTATAGTGCTTACAGGTCATTACATTACATTGCTTAGAACTGATTTCTCAAAACTCTTCCAGATTATAAATGTTGCTTTACTTCAATATGTTTATAAAAATAGGGATAAAATTTCAACTTCAAAAAAGGTTGAGGCTTAAATAGTTTCCAGATATTAAGTATTTAAATACAGTTTTCTTTGAATATATTATCCTGCAAGCTTCTCTTCTCCCCACTTTGCATGTTTTATACCTCAAAGATAGATATTTAATTTCAAAGTTGACACTAATCACCAAAGAGCAGTTGAAACTCAACTATATTATAAAATTTTCTGAACTAAAGGGAAAAATTGTAATTTATTTATGGTTTTACAATTTTGGAATGACAACCCAATCACCAAATATTTAAATTCTATCCCATAATAATTTCTGCACCAGATATGTCCAGAATAAAGAAACTCAGGACTCTGATTGTCTCTTTCCAATTTTTTCCAGTATATTTTCAGTTGTACCAAAAATAATAGATTGTTTGTAATCTTCAGAATTAATAATTTTCTCAAGAAAATAGGAGAAGGTAAACTACAAGTGGGATTGAACAATAGCCAATTTCTCCAGAAGAGATCAAAGTTTTGTCTTATCTAAAACATTATAGAAACCCTAGTAGAGTAACTCTCACTCTAACACTATAAAGTAACTCATGTGATCAGTTTAATGTTAGCACTTCCTCATAGGAAAAAAAAAACCTTTTATTTTACCTCAAGGCCATAAAAAAGAAACAAAAGTATCCCAGAGATGGTAGACACTGTATCAACTGGGGAATATTTAATCTAACTAGGAGTTTTTGTTTAGATAAGTCTCTTGATTTAATTTTTCCTCAAAAGAAGCTTTCAGATGTTTTTTCAAAATCTGTTTCTCAATTATGATATTTGGAGGAAGCCATGAAGAACTGGGGGAGGGGATGCCCTTCAGCTGAATATCAGATGTCGGAGAGCTTCTTTTTATCATCCTACTCTGGGCTAAACTGCATTATTCAATAGTTGATAGTATGATATTTTCTTGGGTCAGAGAAAAAGCAGATTTGAAATTAGTTTCACATGTGTTCCAATATTTGCCTTATAGTTTAGCCCAATACTAAGCTGTAGCTATTTACATTGCTTAGAACTGATTTCTCAAAACTCTTCCAGATTATAAATGTTGCTTTACTCCAATATGTTTATAAAAATAGGGATAAAATTTCAACTTCAAACAAGTTTGAGGCTTAAATAGTTTCCAGATATTAAGAGAACTAGTTAGGAAAGGATACAGTTAAATTCCTTAAAGGGTATAATTTGCTTATTTTTAAAAGTGGTTTTATTAAATAGAAGACTTCTTTTTTCCTTTTCATTCACAGCTTCAGTATTTAATGCCTAAGCTGGTTATTTTATCTAGTTGCATTTGATTTTAGTGAAATTTTAAATAATGTTAATACAATGAACTTCTTTCAGATAGATTTGTTAAGGATCTTTACAGATGGACAGGTATAGATTGAATCTCCACTGTTGATTACAAATTTCTAGTCTATCAAACAGACATGTATTTTGTTTAACAAATCTGCTACAGAACAAGTTGCTTGTGGAAATCTCAAAACAATTCCAAGAGTCCTCTCCTTAGCACTTCATTTCTCTGAAAGAGGAGCTTTAAAGTTACCCCAGAATAATGAGGTATTTCTTTGTTTCACTTAATTAAAATGCTGTACTTCTCCAAGACTCAAACTCGACACTCCTTATTCAATCTTGAAAAGCTTATGTCAAGTGAAAACAAAGTTGCCTTCTCTTACTGAAATTTATGCATGAGATATTTAATGTTCAATGTAAATAAATAGACGCACTTACCTGGTATTACAGTGGAAAGAGCTGAAAGTGAGGAAAGTTTCGATGGATTGAAAAGAAACGGAAAGAGCAGCCGCCACGAGCATCAGCGGAGGCTTTTTGGCTTTCCAAGTGGCAGCAATAGCAGCTCTGGCCCGGTACCTTTGTGTTATGTAACATCTTATTAATATTAGCCATCAAACTGCTACCAAGCTGGTGAGGCACTAGAGGGCAAGAGTGTCACACACAAGCGCCAACGCCAAGGGACCAGCTTTGGTACCACTTCGGGGAGACAGATGCTAACTACGCTGATGAATAACACGCTGCCCGAATGCAGCCGTGAACTTGTACTATTCCTCCAAGAATATTTTAAATGTTAATTTTCTGACTAGCGGAAGAGTTAACAGGCTGCCAGATAGGCACAAACACATCCCCACACCATGCCAAACTTTCAGGCTCATCTTTACCCACCTACACTTCTCCGGGAGGCTGCATCCTTGCATCGTCTGATTGCCAACGTGCTTCAGAGCCAGGAGAGGCACAGACTGATTAAATCCGAGAGTCGCTTTCAGGACCCGTTATGCTCCAGCCGCCAGAAACTTCTCCCGCGCGCGTGGATGCCGCCCCTGAACCCCGCTTTCCGGGTCTCCGGGGTGGTGGTCTCCGCGAGAGGTCGGCGGGGAGCGCGGCGGTGACCTCGGGTGCCGCGTCCGCCCCAGCGCTTTCCCGGGCCGCGCTCACAGCGCCACCTGCAGGCGGCCCCGCCGTCGGGGCGCGACGCGGGGCGGGGAGTCCGGGGGAAGCGGGGCGGTCCTGGTCCTGCAGCTGCCCCGGGTGGGGGCGCGCGGGTGGGGGTCCCCACGCACCGAGCGGGGTGCGGGCGCGCGCAGTGGGCGTGGCGGCCTCAGCCGGGCGGAGCCGGGCGGTAGTGCGGGGATCCCCAAGTCCTTGCCGCCGCCGCCCCCCAACTCCGGGGCGCTCCTAGGCCAGGGACGGGGGCCGAGGGACGGGACTCCCTCCGGGCACCGATCCCCGCTCCCGCCCCGCCCGGGTGGCCCGGCCCATCTCCGGTGCCACGGCGACCCGGGTCACCCCAGCGCGCCCCCGGCTGCTCCGGGTGGGTGGCGGCCACCTAGGACGTGACGGAGACCGGGATGGGAGCCAATGCCCCGGGCGGCCCCGGGAAGGTGAGGCGTCACCGCGTCCTCCCTTCGGATCGCGCTCCTGCCTGGGACACCGACCTGGCAGCGCCTGGGGGTCGGCGTGGAGTCTGCGAGAAGCTGGGCGTTTGCTCCAGCCGCTCCGTGCTCGGCCCCCGCTTTCCCGTCCCGCAGGCGTAGGGGGAAACTGCAGTGACATGTGGGGCACACGGCGGCGGGGGCGGGGTGTGCACTCGTCAAAACTAGGGTTTGGAGATCCCCCCATCCCCCATCCAGTATTTGCAGGCTCATTTTGATCCACTAGTTTCTTATCATGCTCCAGAGTTTTGGAGCGTGATGGTGTGGGGCGTGGTGGTGTGGGGGTGGGAGGGAGATCTGCTAATAATTTACAGTGAATATTTGTGGTTTTGATTCCCAGCAGCCCCCCCAACCCCCGCCCCACCTCGCTCTGGCAACAGCCCCCCCAACCCCCGTTTGTTTGGAGAGATCCATCCACCACCCCACCAACCGGCCCGTTTGCGTCAGGGTAACAGCCACTGTGTGACTCCGTGGAAAGCCACGTGTCCTCCTGGCTGCTGGAATTGGTTAAATACTTAAGATCCAGATCTGGTCAATCAGAGACAAAAATAAAAAGCACCTATCGAGTGGCCTTTTTTTTTTTCTCTCCCCTTAAAAGAAGTAGAAGGCAAAGTCCTCTTCTTCAGTGCTTTGCAGAATAAGGCCTTAGCTTAGCACCTCACAAATTTCTCCACGTGGAGACTGAGACTTGAGGATTCCTCCCTGGGAAAGAAGCAGGGAGGTTTACTGGAAGCAGGAGAAAGTCCTCGTTCTGACGCAGACATCAGAGTTCAGAGTCCAGCTGTTGCTGAAAAAAAAAAAATCCTTACCTCTGGATGTTTTCTTATACAGAATCACCAAAATCACATGCCTTAAGGCAGCTTGACTTAAAATTTCTGTCCATTGGCTTTGAAAGAGACCCAAATGATACAGAGCGGATGTCGATGGACTTTCTGAGAGTATTTGGATACGGTATATAGAGACTTGATTAGATTCTAATGTTCCAAAGTAATTGGTTTGGAATTTAAAATGTCAAAGTTTTATGCTTTTCTTGGTCTGCTTGGGTAGATTACAAAAGTGATGGAACAAATAGCACCTTTGAAAGCCAACAAAAATAGTGGAGTGTAATTAATATTCTTTAACTCGATGACATGTGTTGGATTGTTTTCAGTTATTAAATGTTTCTATTGGAGTCATCGTGGAAGTTCTTGCCTTTTAGAATTTTAAGAAACAAACATATATTTATACTCACTTTCTTTATATCTTTGTCAACCATGAAATTATACTTGTATCATTTTAGTTATTAATAAAAGAAGACCATCCACAATGACTGTGAGATTACAACAATCCTTTAATAGAAAAGCATAAATATTCCATTCCTTAGTTGTTTATAATAAATTAATGTAGAAGTAAAAAAGTAATGTAGAAGTAAAAAAGTCAGGTTCTTCTCCAAGATTTCATGAAGTGGCCAAGATTCCTGAATCTGTTCATTCCCCAGTGGCCTGAGGTGTCAGAATAGGCATGTATTTACTCAGGTTGTGGCTTCAGTGTCAGAGCATGTCATACCTGCCAGAGGCCCTCAGTTCTATTTCCAGCACCACAATGAGCCTCCCTCCCCCCCCCTCAGTTCCTGAGAATTTTTGGAGATGGCCTTGTTCTTTCTTACTGGTCATTATTGAAAAATGACCCCCATTAAAAAAAAGAGAGAAGGGAAGAAAAGGCAGCTGAATATGTTATCTTGCCCTCTGTCATCTTCTCACAAAGAACACCAATGTATTCTACAAAATAAGATATTTAGTGCGTTTGTGACCTCATTTTGGGATTTTCTTCAATTAAGTTGGACCGAAACCACAAATTTTCCAATACTTTAGGATAAACAGTCATGGTCATGGGCAGCCGCTGCTTCCATCCCACCTTCGTAGGACAGGCATCTTTGGGTCATGCCATCTTTTCTCCTTTAGTCCAACTTCAGGATTCTGAAGTTATTGCACACTTTTGAAACTTAAGCTGGTGTAAGGGCATATTGATACATCAATCTCTATTCTCCTTCATTGCCTGACTACTGTGGAGTGAGGAGACACAGGAAGGAGTCAGTAGCAGTCTTCATTGTCCCTGTCCCCTCTCTCCGTCCCTTCCTATCTTCATTCCCTAACTCACAGCTATTCAGGCTAGGGGACAATTTTCCCTGCAGACAGAAACTCCAATTTAGGCTAACACCAGTTAAAAGTCAACACAAAATCTTGGGCTGAGACTTAGGTGGAGAAAGCTTCAGGTTGGTGAAGCACCTCAATCTCATCATCTCTAAATGAACTTTTGCATTATTTTGTGATAAGATAGCTGGAACTGCCGGCTCATCTTCAGGACACATGTGTGATTTTATGTATTGTTCCAAGTCATGGTAACGTGAAAGGAGCTCAAAATCAGATCAGCAAAAGAACTGGTTGGGAGGAAGAGAAGTGCATGGGTTTCTGGAGGACTGTGAGCAATGAGTTGTGCCCTCCAGTGAGAAGTGTAGGGTCAAATGAGTACAGTGGACCCACCCTAGGTGATAAAAAGCCATTATTAATAGACTAGAATGGAATGGTGGTTTCTACATTTCAGCTTGCATCATTTACCCCTGGAATGCTTATAAAGTCATGGTTTCCTGGGTCCTACTCCCAGATTCTGTAGGTGTGGAATGGATCTTGAGAATTTGCATTTTGAACAACTTGCAGTTGGTGGGGGAGTTGCTAATCTGAGACCACTTTATCCCCTCTCACCTGGGTTGGAGCATTAAGAGAGCAGTCCGTATCTTTAGGTGGGTCTAGATGAAGGAGCATGTATTATTATATAAGCACCTGGTTTCAAAATGAAGTCCATGTTAATGAAAATCGTAATAAGTATGCAATCAATTGAACATTTTAACGACTTTCTGTACAACCAATTAGGGAAACTGCCAAAGAAAACGATTTGTTAAAAAATACAGGGTCTTTGGTGTGGATTTCAGAAGAGAACAGGCTCACTCGTAGCCTTGTAGGGCAGCTTAGGCTCATTTGTGTTTTCTACAGCCCTGGAAATGGGGTTGTGCACACTAGCTGTCATTTATAGCAAACTAAAGAAGAGGCAGTGTTTTCATCGTGTGTAGGTCTGGTTTTGTCCTGCGCAGATTACAAAAATCACTTTCATGATGAGTGATATGGAAATCGCTTATTTCATCATGCCCTTTTATTTTGCTATGATTTGTTTTGAGAAATCTTGTACACGTTATTTTCTATCATTTCTGTTTAATTTTCAAATGCTTTGTCCTCAGAAATAGCTTTGTTTCCTCCAAGAGACTAATTTAAATTCTTCTGCATAAAGTATTCTGTATGTAGTTAATTGCAGGCTTTCAGCGATGACTCTTGGGCAGTATAAACATAGCCATAACTATGTTTTTATATAGATATATACTGGTTGGAATGACTGTTGTTTTTCTCTACCTCTTAAAAATATTTATTTATTTTTTGATTGACTGTGATTTGCAAAGTTTTTTGTAACAGAGGTTCAGGGTGAAGTGTTGCTCAGCATCTTTTGATTTGGAGAGAAACATAGTAGATATTTTTATTATTTTCTTTCTTTCTTCCTTTCTTTTTTTAAAAAAATGCATGATCAAAACAATGAAATATAAGGAGAGGAATATCCTGGTTAAATGCAAAGTAGTTTTCTCCAAAGCCTCATTTTTAACAATAGGGATTCAAGATCATTATATTTTCTTTCTACATGGGGCAAACCCTCTGGAAAAGGAAAATATGTGGTTGGTTGGACAAATGAATCCAAATCTTAAAACATTCACTCCTTAAAGCTGTTTATGTAATACATTGGAGAATTATTCTTTGAAATATTTCAGTACTTTGGAATATTCAAGTAGTTTGTACCTCTGGTAATGTAGATGAATTACACAGTTAAAACACAATTCTCTG